GAGGTGACCAGAGGTAGGACTTGGTGACCCTGAAGCTCGTCTCCACCCTTGGAGGTCCTGGGCTTCAGGGTGGTGGGGCAGCAGCTGCTGGGGCTGGAGCAGCTCCGGTGGATCCCTGCCCACCCTGGGCAGCTGCTCTGGGGTCCTGGGCTGTTCCTGTAGCACTGCTGCCCTGTCGGCAGAGAGGGCAGTTAATTGCAACAATTAATTAGCTGGATGATTGATTGCCTGCTGCTTCTGCATGAGGCACTTAATTATCTAGTTATTTATTTTGCTATTTAGTTATTGACCGGTTTGGTTATTTATTTAGTTATTAAGTGAATTAATGATTTAATTACTCAATGGCTTTAATTATTTAGTTATTCTGGAAATTCATTATTTAATTACTTAGTTATGTAATTATTTAGTTTTCGAGTAAAATCAGTATTTTACCAGCAGCCACAGCCCATCTCCGTCACTCCAGCAATGCCAGGGATCCCCAAGAGCTACCACAGAAATCACCAAGGCGGCAGCAGGGAAGTTCCTGCAGGTTTGTGGGGTCCCAGGTGGAGTCTGAGCTCCAGCCACCCCTTTGTCCCCCGTCCTCAGCTTCCTGCTCCTTTGTGCTGGCAGTGCCTGGGCACCAGCCCTGCTCCTGAGGTGGGGAGAAGTTGGGGTGTGGAACTGGAGCTGGGAATGCCCCAGCTGCTTGCTCAGGGGGGGAGCGGCACGGGATTTGGGGAAACTGAGGCAAGGTGTGCAGGGGAGGTTCAGGCTGGACACTGGGGGCCGATGCAGCCCCCACCCCGGGGGGTTTAAAGCCCTGTGGATCTGGCACTGGGACACGGGGCAGTGGTGCCCTGGCAGTGCAGGGGGTGTGACAATTCCATGATTCCACAGTCTGCAGAGGTCTGTGGAGCACCCCTGGCCGTGATGCCAAGGAGGAAGGTGCCCCCCCCTCGTGCCACAGCCTTCCGTGCAGGTGACATCCTTCCAGGGAGGCTGCTCCAGGAGCAGGGACAGCAGCTCGGGAATGTCCCGGTGCCAGTGCCAGCCCCCGGGCTGCCCTCACCACCTCGGACACCGGGGTGTGACAGCCGCCGTGAGCCTGTGCTCCCCGCGCTTCCTCTGCAGAGAACGGCGCCAGCTCCAGCCTGTCCTGGGCCCTGCAGCGAGGGGACAAGCACCACCACACCGTGTGTGAGCAGACTGGGGCACTGCCAGCCTCGCCCCTGGGCTGGCACAGCTGTGGCCCCGGGACTGGAGGCAGGGCAGAGCCCCAGAGCCGTGCCTGCTGTGGAGCGCCCCTGAATCTGAGAGAGAAGCAGAGGAAGAGCAAAGAGCCCAGCGAGCTTGGCATGGAGCAGAGCCCTGCTGGGCCCTGGGCTCTCGGGGAACATCCAGCGTTCTGCTTTGAGGGAGAAGGACAAAACCTGGCTCTTTGAGACCACGGGCTGAGCCCCAAAGGACGTTTTTGGGGGTGCTGCTGCTGCTCTTAGGGGATGCTGCTGCCAGAGCTGGAATCTGCTCCGACACCATTCCTCTGGCATCCCTCTTACCCTGGAGCCCTGCCCAGCCCGGTGCTCCCCTCTGTGGGGTCCCTCTGTCCCCCCTGCAGCACCCCAGGGGAGCTGCACATCTTTAGCCTGGGCTCACCATGTGGGGGAAGAGAAACCCCAAAGCCAGGAGTGGCATCAGCCCAGAGCTCAGCTCAGTCAGCCTGGCCTAGCTGAGCCCTCAGAGAGGCCGAGGTCATCCTCATCCCCATGCCCATCCCCAGGCTGCAGGACCCCCCTCCCTGCTCCTCCTCCACCCAGAGCCAGCCAGCCTCCCCAGCAGTGGCTGCCCAGGGTCTTGGGGGGTGGCCCTGGTGCCACCTGCCTGCCCCCACGCTGGGTGAGCCACCAGGAGCCCCGGGATGATGCCACAGTCCTTGGGTGTTCCCTGAGCCCCGTGGCTCTGCGTGGCTGCAGGAGCATTTCCTGCCTCACAGGGAGGAGTCACTCTCCCAGAGTCTCAGCATTTCGGATCCCCGTGGTGCTGTCCGTGTCTCGTCCCTGCACGGCCGGAGCTTCCCCGGAGCCACCCGCGCTCCTGTTCCTCACGCCAGCCCTAGGAGTGCCCCGCTAACACTGCGGGGCCAGCGGGCATCCCGCACTGTCCCTGCTCGCCCTGGGCTCCCTTCCCGGCTGCGGGGTGCTGCTCCCGGCGCTGCTGGGGGACGCGGCTCGCGGTGGGCGGCTGTGCAGGTGTGTCCGGGGGGCGTGGGGCAGGGGGCACCTGAAACCAGCCCAGGGGGTCGAGCCTGGGCAGGAAGGGAGCCTGGAGCTCCCTGCGCGAGCCCCATGGGGCTCTGCTCCGCGGAGTGACAGAATCAGCGAGCCCGGAGGAAGCCCCCGAGTCACTGGGTCCGGCTTGGAGCCGAGACTCCCGGGCAGCTCCTGCCCGGCCGCTCCCCGAGGCCGGTGCTGGCAGCAGGGCCGGGCGCTGCGGCAGGAGCCAGCCCCGCTCCCTCCCCGGACAGCTCAGGCATCGCCCAAACCCTTCCTGCAGCCCGAGCAGGCGAACCCGAGTGCTGCACTGTGAGATGCATGAGGCAGCAGAGGAGAGGCAACACCCGGAGCTGTAATTGCGAGGCTCCTGTTGAACGTTTCCACAGCAGCTGCAGGAGCGATGGTGCCTTGTCAGAGCCTTTCCTGGATCCAGGATCCTTCTGCAAGGCCAGAACCTCCCACTCCTTCTTGCTCCAGGAGCTGTGTCTTTGGGGGAGGAGGGCGATGTGTCCCAGGGTGAAGGAGGGACGGGGGAGGAAGGGTTGGGACCGAGATCGGTGCTGCTGGGTGGGGCAGGACACTCAGTATTGACTTTCTGACAATCCTTTTTGCACCTGATGGTCTTAGAGGTCGCAGAATCCCAGAACCCCAGCATGCTTTTGCTTGGAAAGGACCTCAAAGCCCACCCAGTGCCATGGCAGGGACACCTCCCATTGTCCCAGGCTGCTCCAGCCCCAGTGTCCAGCCTGGCCTTGGGCACTGCCAGGGATCCAGGGGCAGCCCCAGCTGCTCTGGGCACCCTGTGCCAGGACCTGCCCACCCTGCCGGGGAACAATTCCTTCCTAATAATGACTTGGAGATTGTTGATTTGGTCAATGATCCTCACAATAATTAAAGCCACCATGGTAGATGGCTGCCCATGGCTGGGGTTGGCTGGCAGAGGGGGCCGGCAGCTGGAGGAGACTGCCTGGGGAGGTTCCAGCAGTGGAATGAGACAATTTTCACCTGCTGCGGATAAACCTCAGACATTCATGGTTCTCTGGATCCCAGGAGAGCTCAGGCTGTGCCCACCTCCTGCTCAGCTCTTCGCCAGCCCGGCCCAGGGTCCGGCGTTGCGAGGAGAGAAGAAAATCACTTGCAATGCCAATGCTGGAAAAGCAGGAAATGCCTCCCCGGGGTGTTAACTGCTGTTAATGGTTAATGCGCCGGCGATTTAAGGCTCCCGAGGTGCGGGGTCGGCAGCTTGGCGAGGCGGGGGGAAGGCCGGTGCCCGCAGCCCCGGCAGCGCTGGGCTCCGGGGCTGCGGCTCCGCTCCCGCCCGGGCTGCCCTCGGTGAGTCGCGGCGTGCCGAGCGCGGGGCTTGGGGCGGGGATCCTGCGGAAAGGCTGAAGGGGAGCACGGGGCTGTGTGAGAGGAATAGATTTCCGTATTTCTGGGAAGTGGAGGTGGAAAGCCTTGCTGAGCCGCTTTGTAGCCCACACACGGTAGCACTGGCTGGTGTTGGAGCCTGGGGATGCTCCCAGGCAGATTTAATCCCCTGCTCTAGACCCGTGCAGGCTTGATTTACCTGGGTGATGGCTCTGCAAGTGGAAGAGGTGGCTGGACAAATATTTGTGATGAGCTGAAGGCCTTTTCTGTCTTGAGCCATGTTTTAACTGTGGATTTTTGGTTCAGGGAGCTGAGAGTCCTTAATGGAAGCACTTAGAAATGCAAACACGTCTGGCTTGGGTACCTGCTGCTTGAAAGTAAATCAGGCTTTGAGCAGGGAAGGTTTATCTCTGGTCCGAATCCAACTGCTTTTCCTCCATCCCAGCCCTGGCCTGGAGCTTTTTGTAATGTACGATGGAGTCTACACAGGGAATGGGAGCTGGGGGTGGGATGGGGGAAGCACCTAAACCCAGCAGTCCTGCGGTGCTCTTTCTCCTCAAGCCCTTCTCATGGCAAAGCTTTTGTGGAGGATTTGCAGCTTGGCTGGTTTGCATTGTTCACATCTTCACAGATCCCCTCAGGCGGATCTGTCACGGGACAGAGCTCCCAGGTGGGCACGCAGCTCCCAGCTCAGGCTGCCCCAGCACTTCGGGAACTGGGAAAACTGAGCTCAGAGCCTGGAACAGGCAGGGCCCAGCGTCAGTGCAGAGCTCTGCATCTGGGGCGTCTCTCTGGGATATTTCTGCTTTGGGGCAGAATTCCTTTGTCCAAGGATCGCTCTGTGCAGTCCACCATGTCTCTGCCCTTCTTCATGAAGGAGTAGAAAAGGAATGAAGCAAAAGGCAGGAAAAGAAAGGGCTCCCTCTGCTCTAGAGCCAGGCTGGGAGAGCTGGGGTTGCTCAGCTGGAGCAGAGAAGGCGCCCAGGTGACCTTGGAGCCACTTCCAGTGCCTACAGGGGATCCAGGTGAGAAGTGTGATGGGTGCCCACAGCCCTGAGATGCCAGTGGAATGTCAGTCACATCCCAGACACTGCCCAGCATCGATACTGGGAAAGGATTTATTCCTGTATTTGGGGTTTTACAAGGAACTTTGGTCTGAGCAGGGTGAGAAACGGTGTCATTTCACCTCCCTGGAGACCACCAGAGACACAGCTCTGTGTGTGTGTGCTCACAGATGGAGCCACTGACTGTGGCAAGGCTGAGGGTGACTTTATGACTATTTCTATGACTTTTACAAGGTTTTTGTGGCAGTGGATGAACAGAGCTGGGAAAAGGCCTGACCTGTTTAGCAGTGGGAGAACAGAGATGTTTTCTTCCAGACACACTTTGTAGGACTGGCAGAGCAAACGGGGTCCTTTGTACCAAACATAGCAAGGGAACCCCTTGGGGTGGAAGGCAGGAGCCTTGCCACTTGTGTCCCGATTTGCAGCATCTGTCAGGTGTCATGGGCCACTGCAGGCTCAGAGGGCTGGTTTATCCCTTCTCCTTCCCGCACAGAGCTGAGCCAGGCCGAGCACGGGAGCACCATGTACGAGCTCAACGAGAGCAGCTTCGACCCCATCACCTTTGTCCTGACGGGCATCCCGGGCATGGAGGAGTCCCACATCTGGATCTCCGTCCCCTTCTGCCTGATGTACCTCACTGCTGTGCTCAGCAACCTGCTGCTGCTCTTGGCCATCGCCACGGACCGCAGCCTGCATGAGCCCATGTACCTCTTCCTGGCCATGCTGGCCCTGTCCGACCTCCTGCTGTCCACCACCACCGTGCCCAAAATGCTGGCCATCTTCTGGTTCAGCGCCAGGGAGATTTCCTTTGACGCCTGCGTCACGCAGATGTTCTTCACCCATTTCAGCTTCATCGTGGAGTCCTCGGTGCTGCTGGCCATGGCCTTCGACCGCTACGTGGCCGTGTGCGACCCGCTGCGCTACGCGGCCGTCCTGACCCCCTCGGCCATCGGCAAGATCGCCGCGGCCGCCGTGGCCCGCGGCTTCTGCATCATGTTCCCGCCCATCTTCCTGCTGAAGCGGCTGCCCTACTGCGGGCACAACGTGATGCCCCACACCTACTGCGAGCACATGGGCATTGCCCGCCTGGCCTGCGCCGACATCAGGGCCAACGTCTGGTACGGGCTGACCACGGCGCTGCTCTCCTCGGGCCTGGACGTCGTGCTCATCGCCGTCTCCTACGCGCTCATCCTCAGGGCGGTGTTCCGCCTCCCGTCCCCCGAGGCTCGCCTCAAAACCCTCAGCACCTGCGGCTCCCACCTCTGCGTGATCCTCATGTTCTACGTGCCGGCCTTCTTCTCCTTCCTCACGCATCGCTTCGGCCGCCAGATCCCCAGCCACGTCCACATCCTGCTGGCCAACCTCTACGTGGTGGTGCCACCCATGCTCAACCCCATTGTCTACGGGGTGAGGACCAGGCAGATCCGGGAGCGCGTCCTCCGCCTGCTCTGCCCCGCGGGGGAGTGTCCCTGCCCCAGCTGGGCGGGCGGGTGCTGAGCAGGGCAGGGGATGTGGGGTGGGCTCCGGAGAGCAGCACAGCACTTCTTAGCCTGCAGGAACTGCTTTGGGGTTCAAGGGAAAGCGGTTCAGCTTCAGCTTCTCCCCTGAAGCTGATCTCTGGAAACCTGACCTTGGCTCATCAGCATCTTCACTGCTGCTGGTTTCTCCTGGAGCTGCTTCCCCTGAACTTCCTTCATTGGCAGAGACTGGGTAGGTTCAGCTGAGAAGCAACAAGGCACTAAGACCTGCTGACTCACTGTCACTGCTGCAGCTCATGTTTGCTGTCCTACAGCTTCATTTCTGCCTGTTCCTTCACCTTTCCTGCAGTGCCCAGACCATGAGCACCTCGTTGGTAGCCAGACTGAAGCATGGCACTGAGCGTGGCTGGATGGCACCACGCTGCTCACCGTGGCACAGAGGGGCACATCCTCCTGCGCTTCCTGCTGCTGAAAGGGTTTCCCTGCTGAAGTGTCCCGAGGGCTTGGGAAAGGCTTTATTGTCCTGTGTTTGAGGGAAACATTTCCCTTAAAGCATGACTCCCAAATGCAATTCAAGCCCTTACAGGGCTGTGTAAAGGGACAGTGATTTCCTACACCCACCACATCCCACAGGGATGCTTTCTGTCTTGGCCAGTACAGCTCTGCCTCACCCAGGCAGCGAGCAGAGTTCTGGCTGTGGTGGTTAGGGAGCCCTTTTGGAGGCTCCACACACAATGCCAAGAGTGGGGTGGTCGGCCCTGTGTCACCTGTGAGCCCCCATGGAGGGCCCGGTGTGCTCCTGATGCTCCTCCTGAGGTGGAGCAGGGCAGCCATTTCTGCAGAATGTGCCTTTGCCCTGGTGTGAGGGCAGCCAGCACTCGCCAGTCCCGCAGCCTGGCCGGGCTGCACAGCTCTTTCAGACCTGCCCACGGTGGGGCGAGCACTGCTGCACACCTGGGCCCCGGAGGTGTCTCACGGGAGGGGTGGTGACCCCTGGCTCTGCCAGGAAATGCCTCCAGGAAATGCTGTGCCCCACTCAGGGCGGGGGCTGCCAACCATCCTGCCTGGGGCTGGTCAAACCCGTGTTCCTGATGGAGGGCAGGAGCCCAGGGCACGCCAGCTGTGCTCAGACCTGCGTGACACAGGAGCTGAGATCGAGCCAGCAACCCAACCAGCCAGCTCTGCTCCAGCCAACCAGCAATGCTGCCACGACTTCAGAAGAAAAGGGGAAGAGACAGATTCGTGATTTCAGGTCAAACCCCCCAGAAGTTTTTCACTTTTGCAACACATTTCTTCTTTTCTTTTCTTCATTTTCCTCTGATTTGATCAAAGGTGGCACCGTGTGATGGGCACAGGGGAAATGAAAGTCTGTTCATTAAGGGCTGTTTGTCTAGCAGTGGAGATAACGGGGCTGGTACAAAAGCTGCTCGTGTCGCTGGGGTTTTTAATGTCCTCAGAACGTTCGTGTTTGCGTTGGCTTTCTTAGCAAAAAGGAAAAAAAAAAAAAGAGTGTTTGCTCAGAGCAGCCATGTAATTTTCGATAGGAGATGGAGCTGTGAGAAGGAAAATGTGTCAGGAGAGCATGTTGCTGTGGGCAGCTCAAAGAACAATTGAGCTGCCGCCTGGGTTTGTCAATATATGGGGCTGGAGCAGCCTGGGGCAGTGGATGGTGTCCCTGCCAAGGCAGGGGTGGGATGAGATGGGATTTAAGGTCCTTTCCAGCCCAACTGTTCTGTGGCTCCATGGCTCTGTGGATCTGTCTGTTCCTGGGGGTTTCCCAGAATGGTTTTACGCAATGGAGGAGGCAGGTTTGAACTCCTGCTCTGCTCCTGTGGTGGCCAGGTCAGCAGCAAACTGCCCAGGGAAATGTCCCCAAGTCAATGAATCACCAGCTGGGCCATTCCTGGCCAGGGCCCGTGCCTAATGGGGCATTAGCCAGCCAAGCAGGGAGATTTATATTTCAAGGTGTTAAAATGTCAGCTTAATAACTCACAAAGGTGGGAACCACAGCTCCTCCACTTCATATTTTTTTTCCAAATCTGGAGACACCCACTGTGTTTTTAGCTCAGTTCATGGCTTTTGTAAGTGTGTTTGGATTACAGGGATCTTTGCCTGGTAGGAAGGAGGGGAAGGAGGAAGGCTCCCTGCCTGTGGCACAGAGTTAGAAGAGGTGATCTTTAAGGTCCCTCCCCACCCCAACCATTCCACCATCCCATTATTCTGTAATTTTAACTGGTGTTTTTCCCAGATACCACATGAAGGAACCTCAGAAATCTTTGGGAAATAAGTGCAAGTCACGGAGCCCTGCTGTGCCCTCAGTGGAGGTTTCTGTGCAGAGAAGGAGTGAGCCTGCACTGGAGAGGTGATGGAGCCAGGCTGTGGGTCAGGCTCTGTGTGTGCAAGGGGGATGGCAGTGCTGGGGCCAGGGCCAGGGCCAGGGCCAGGGCCAGGGCCAGGCTCTCAGCACGGACACGGCTCGCAGTGCCAGGCTCAGGCGCCCCTCTCCCCTCAGCTGTGCTGCCCTGTGTGGAGTTGCGCCTCAACAGCCCTGCAGACGGTGGTGCTTGGAAACTCCTTCACTCGGAGCAGCCGAGCTGGCTCCAGCCCTCCCTCTCCTCTCGGCAGCCGGCAAGGGCAGGACAGAGCTCCTGGGGAGGGTCCCTCAGTGTCACTGGGCTCCTGGGGAGGGTCCCTCAGTGCCACTGGGTGCCTGGGGAGGGTCCCTCAGTGCCACTGGGCTCCTGGGGAGGGTCCCTCAGTGCCACTGAGCTCCTGGGGAGGGTCCCTCAGTGTCACTGGGTGCCTGGGGAGGGTCCCTCAATGTCACTGAGCTCCTGGGGAGGGTCCCTCAATGTCACTGAGCTCCTGGGGAGGGTCCCTCAGTGTCACTGAGTGCCTGGGGAGGGTCCCTCAGTGCCACTGGGCGCTTGGGGAGGGTCCCTCAGTGCCACTGGGTGCCTGGGGGCGTGGAGCCCACCTGGGATGGGTGAGGAGCCCACTGGAGCTCTGGGCTCGGGATGCCCGTCCCTGGAAGTGTTCCAGGTCAGGCTGGATGGAGCTTGGAGTGGCCTGGTCTGGTGAAAGGTGTCCCTGCCCATGGCATGGAGAGAACCAGGATGATTCCATCATTCCGTGAAATGTTAATTTAATAAAGTCCTATGGGAATGAACCACACGGACTCCATTTCTTTTATGGTGGAAAAAGCCTCTTCTATTCACGTAACTCGCTTTTATATAATTTTTACAGACCTCGTGGGTGGCTCCAGTCGGTCGGTAGCTTCTTTGCCAATTACTTTATTGGTTAATAACAAGTTGTTATTCTGTATTGATTGGTCACTCAAACCCCCGGTGTGTACGTGCAGGGAAAGTTGTTTGTGAAAGGCAGTTTCCATTTCTCTATCTAAGGGTGCAAAACCAGTTTATACGGGTGCTGGTTGTTTTTCACCCAGGAACAGATTGTTATGCTAACGAACTGCTCACACCAGGATTGCTCCCACTTGGGAACCTGCAAAGTGCTGGCTTTGACAAGGTCAGCCACCGATTCCAGGAGAGCAGGCTGGATTTTATCAAGCCTTTCTTTGGGATTTCTCTGTGTTACTGCAACAGAACCGCACTTCACAGACAGGCAGGTAATAAACAGCACCCCCTCCTTGCCTGAAATGAGACAGTAACGCAGCTTCGGGGGGAACTTTTGGGTGACTGGTTTGATCTCATGGATTAGAGATTCCTGCTGCTCCCAAAGGTCCCTAACAGCTCCCTGAAGGGTCGTGGCAATCAGGAAGCTGCTGACTGCAATTTCCCTGCTGAGGCTCTCTGCAGGTTTCTAGGTGGTCCAATTCTAGTGGTCCAAAAAATCAGAAATGGGGACAAAATCACTGAGGAGGTTTTTAGCAGGAATGTCTGCTGATCTTCAGCTCAGAGCTCCCAACTTCCTCTCCACCGTGGTTCCCAAAAAGTTAAAACAGTTCTGGGTCTTAGGGCACTTGCAGTCTGGGGCAGGAGCAGGGGCAGAGCTCACAGCTCTGGGCAGGACCCTGCCAGCCCAGGCTGGCACAGGCACAGCCCTGGGGTCTCTGTGCTCCAGGGGCAGAGCTCACAGCTCTGGGCAGGACCCTGCCAGCCCAGGCTGGCACAGGCACAGCCCTGGGGTCTCAGTGCTCCAGGGGCAGAACGAGCAGTGCAGGAGCGGCTGTGCCGCAGGACCACGAGTGATGGGGTGGTGGGGCTCACCGAGTTCCTGCGGGGCAGCCTGAGGGGCTGTGGGCTCCTCCAGCCAGTGCACTTCATTAGTGCACTTCATTAGTGCAGCTGTAGGAAATACCCAGGGAAACGACCTGGTGAGCCCCTGTGCCCTCCCCCACAGCTCAGGTGTGAGCACAACCCCCTCCCCACCTGAGTGCCCCGGGCCACTCCCGGGCTGGGGCAGCGGGAGGGTGACAGAGCAGGGCTGGGACCTGGCACTGCTGTTCCAGCCCTTTCAGGCTTTTGAATCCTTTCATATCCAGAGTGGATCTACTGGAGCGTGTCCAGGGCAGGGAACGGAGCTGGGAAGGGGCTGGAGAGTTCCTGAGGAGCTGGGAAGCGGCTGGAGAGTTCCTGAGGGAGCTGGGAAGGGGCTGGAGAGTTCCTGAGGGAGCTGGGAAGTGGCTGGAGAGTTCCTGAGGGAGCTGGGAAGGGGCTGGAGAGTTCCTGAGGGAGCTGGGAAGGGGCTGGAGAGTTCCTGAAGGAGCTGGGAAGGGGCTGAGCTGGAGCAAAGGAGGTTCAGGGGGACCTTGTGGCTCTCACAGCTCCTGCCAGGAGGGGACAGCCGGGGGGTCGGGCTCTGCTCCAGGAACAGGGACAGGAGGAGAGGGAACGGCCTCAGGCTGGGCCAGGGCAGGGGCAGGGTGGATTTTGGGACAATTCTTTCCCAGAAGAGCTGTCCAGCCCTGGCACAGGGGTGGAGTCCCCACCCCTGGAGGGATTTCACAGCCCTGTGGATGTGACACTTGGGGACATGGGTCTCTGCTGGCCTTGGCAC